GTCGTCTTTGAGCAGCTGGGTTCCTCCGAGCTCAGCCCCAGACCTTCCTTCTTCTCTCCCTCACCCTCCTTCCCGAGGTGGCTTCACCGCCGTCTCCGCCCGGCCTGCTCCCTGAGCCCGGAGCCCGCACGCGCCGCTGCTGCTGCTTGCCTTCCCCTGCAGCAGCGCAGTCTTCCCACAGCGACGCGCTCAAGTGGGAGCGAGTCCTCGCCCTCGGTTCTTCTGCTCTTCTCTGATCCTCTGATCCTCTTCACCTAAGTGAATCTCCCTGCCTTCCACCTAACTTCTTGGGTCCGACACTTGGGGACGTTTTCCATCACTTTCCTGTATTTCCAATGTTCACACCATTTATCTATTGTCAATTATTTAAAAAAGCTATCTCTCAAAATTTCACCCTAGTCAGTCACCCTTATCTCTCCCCTGGTAGCAGTACCAGCCTCCTAACTGGTATTCTGGCAAAAAGACTTCACTGATGCACCCTTAACCTGCCAACAAATTGTTTTCCCTAGAAAGCAGTCCCTCCCTCGCTCGCTTCTTCCTCCTTTTATCTTTCCTCCCTTCCGTCCTTCCTCCCTTCCTTTCATTTACATTTTATTTGTCTTCTTTATTTAAGAAAGCTATCTGGAAAATAATCATAATTTCATAGGAAATTACGAGATGCATCCAGGAGCGGGCTCACGCCTTCTCCGTCCCCCCACGGGTGACACCTGCACACGTGGAGCACAGCATCGAAGCCAGGCACTGCCGCCGACGCGATCCCAGGGCTTCTGCAGGTCGGTTGGCTGGAGCTCTCCTCACATGCGTGCTGAGTGTGTATCGCTTACGTGTGTCGGTGTCAGCTCTGTGATGTGGTCGTACACGCAGCCACTGAGGTATGAACTGCGTCGTCACCCCAAATACCCTTCCAGTCCTCCAGCCAGTGCCTTGCTCAAAACCCTAAGACCCAGATCTTGCAGTAAGAGCTGTGTTTGCCAGCATACTGCGGCTTTCAGCAACCGTGCTGGCTGCTTTCTGCTCACGTTTTGCCAAGCATCTGCTGCCGGCCTTTCTCTTCCCCTTAGTTTGCCAAGCTGCCTCTGTGCAAAGCCTGAGCTGTGCTGTTCTCTCTCTCTCTCTCTCTCTCTCTCTCTCTCTCTCTCTCTCTCTCTCTCTCTCTCT